ATCCACTTTTAACATGAGCTAAAGATCCCTTTGAGACTCGTCTCTAGCGTTGATAGTAAAAAGGTGTTTTATCCCTAAAAGATCTAGATCCAATAATCCTGCAGTAGGGGAGCTAACCCACGCAGTCATGATCTAGATTGGATTTGGTAATTTAGTGCACATTCGGTCTTGTTATTTTAATTTGTTGGGCGATTTGATACGCAGAAACCCTTATAATAAAGAAAACTGAATGTTTACTGTGGAGCACGAAACATAGGTAGAGCCAGGTTTTGTTTGGCGAGGGAATATTATCCGGCGTGGCAAGGAAATACCACGGTATAAACAAATATGTTCCGGAGTTTCAGATTATTTCCGCTCATTACACGACATACATGAAACCGAGTGTCTACTAAATGATAAGTCACCGTGACAACACTTGGTCTACGTTGTGGGGGTTGTAAAAACAGGCAAAAGAACATGCAGGCCCTGCAAGCGCAGCATTTCAATAGCAATTAGCGTGGTGATTATAGAAAGTTCAGGATAAATCAAGTAGTGAAACCTAAATTCTCGCCATCGCACCTCCGTTATCCAACTTTTGTGGAGACTCTGCTGGCGTACTTGCTCATTTGCAGTGTGCCAGATTGATTCTGACAGAAGCTTGAACATTCAGGGGAAACGACGGTGATTTTGACTACATTCACCGAATAAAATCGACTATCGCCTTCGGTAGCCGCAATATTAAAATGAAAATAAAAAAGGCAAAACGAGCCGAGAAGAGCGTAAAAGCAATAGTTAACCGCGCATGCGGCTGGCAGCTGCTTTAATGATGTCACGAATCATACTTCCCTATGCGTGACGATCCGTGGCAGCAGGTCGATACACTTCAATCTAATCTCCTTGCCAGCGACGGAGGCCGAATACCAGAGGTCCAAGAACCACTTTCATTGCCAATAGAAGTGAATATGCGAGTTCCAGGAAGCAGTTCAGAAGGATTAAGGAGTCTCGACAGAATCCGAAACGTCAGGAAAATAAAAATCTTGTTCCAGTGATTGCATCTTCGCCTTCTGAACCACTTCTA